AAGGCATGCACCAGCTTATCGTGTATATCGCGGTATAGCCATACGAAACAGAGCCACTAATGTACCCAAGAATGCGAAAGGAACAAACTCCGTGGTTTTATTCCGCAAACGAACTATAACAACCGAGCAACCGCCGCTTGTCGGCGAAGTTAGTGCCAACCGCCATTGTGGTCTAGTGGTCAGAGTTCCTAGCTACAAACCCAGAGGTCCCGGGTTCGATTCCGGGCGCTATCAGGTTTTCTGAGATGTAGTGGGTGTGTAACAGGGTTCACTCAGCCTCATGAGGATAACTGAGGAGCTGCTTGAATGGAAACGTAGCGGCTCCGGTCTACGAAACCGAAATTAACGACCGTGGGGATTCGTTACGCTACTCACACGACACCCTCTACCCGCTAAACTTGGCCACGAACGTGAAAAGGAAATATTAATTAAAAGAATAATCTTTCACATATTTTTCATACAAAATTGGTTTCATATTTTCTAAATACAGCACGTAAGCAACGATATATCTCTTCACTTTTCGAAATCTTTAATTAAAATTTTTCATGTTCTCGTTAACCCCCAGTCATCACCAGAATTATCTCTAGCGGCAGTGTTGCTTTCTCGAGACTTTTCTGATACGCAAAATCTTTATCTCATCAAAGCACAGCTTCTTTAGGCAATGTGTACTGCCTGCCACAATGCTAAAATGTTCTGCATTTCGTGTCGTGTTCAAAATGAAAAACGATAAGTATTTCTCTGGGCAGAATTAAACAGCTTGGGTTTTGTAACTGAGACTCATGTAGGCCTACAAATTGGGAACGCAATCTTTACTTAAATAGGCCTATGAATATTATTTTGATGAAATTCGGGCTTCAAGGTGTTAATTGTGGTTCCTTCTGGCACTGATTTCAATTTAAACCTCCTAACTGCAATTACACAGGAGGCATTTATTATTATTATTATTATTATTGTTATTATTATTATTTCAACATAAATCTGAGAGAAAACATACCACTTTCAATAAATAACAATATCTTATAGCAAGCCCTATAGCCTAATCCAAGTACAGAATCTGATATCCATACTCTTTAGCCTAGGTAGTTATCCAGAGAAACCGTCAGACCCGAGGTTCCTTGAACATTTCCGTAACAAGCTTAGTTTTACGGTGATTAGTTGTTAGCCCTACACCCAACCAACTCCCCAAGTTGGAGGACCACCCCTTGTCGGCTGTCCGCTACTACTTATTCAATATAATCACAGCTTCCCTTCATTCGTGGGGGCGTCAAGGAGGATGAGGTAGGCAGGGCATGTAGCACAAAAGGAGGAGAAGAGGAATGCATATAGGATATTGGTGGGAAAGCCAGAAGGAAAGAGACCACTGGGAAGATGAAGGCTTAGGCGGGTGGACAATATTAAAACGAATCTTAGAGAGATAGAATAGGATGGCATGGATTGGGACCAGTGGATGGCTCTTTTTAAGACGGAAATGAACCATAAATCGCTGGGAACTTTTTGAGTAGCTGCACAATTGGAGGTTTCTAATGAAGTGCTCAGCTGCATCAGTGAGTGAAGCCCTATAATAATCATAAGGTTGAACATGCATTAATAATCCATAGTCAAATTATTTCCAGAAATTTGGAAGAAATAATGGAAATCTCATTCGGGAAATTTCGACAGACATTACTTGGCCGAAAGATGTGATCGTGGTTATCTCGTCCATTTTGTATTCGGGAGCTCCCAGGTTCGAAACCGTGAAATGCAACTGGCTATCCGACTTCGAACTTTTGTGGTCCTCCAAACAAGTGAAGGTAGAGTGCTTTAAATAGGCCATGGCCTTATCATTTCTGCCAATTCGACTGTGATGACCAAGCTGCCATTCAATTCACAACTTAATGTAAGCCAAATGGTTCTATATGTACCACCTGTTGTAGCATGCTGAAACTCCACCCTACTTGACATTTCGCTATGGCCCGCGGACCATGAGTAACGCGAGGAATAAGTATGACCGGCCGCGATAACGAGATTACTGCGTTCTGAGATGTGACGTCGTGTGGCCTGGTAGATTTTTACCATTGGTTCAGAGAAACCTGCTGCCTGCAACTTCAGGTCACGCCGGGATAGTCACTGCAGCAGGAAACTCACATCTCGGAAGACTAACTTGCATGGCGTAAAGACGACTCTGTGTTCCCATAACGACACCACTCCTAGTCCTGCAGAAACTCTTACCCTAGTCGAATCTCGCACGTTAAGGACGGAACCTAGACTGAGGGAGTTTGAGAACTGACTACTAAGAGAGAGGCAAAAACAGGAGGCTGGAGAAAATTATATAACGAGGAAATTCATAGTTCGTCCTCTTCACTAAATAGGTTCTACTGTCAGAATGAAGAAATTAAGGATAGTAGGATTATCGGGGCCTGTATGGGTGTGAAACTTGGTCTCTGACATTAAGGGAGGAACATACACTGAGGGTGTATAGGGCCGAGCCATAGTTCAAGCGGTTAGTCGCTAGCCTCCCACCCCGGTGGCCTGGGTTCGATCACGGGTCTGGTCAAGTGAGATTTGTGGTGGACAAAGTGGCCCTGGAGCAGATTTTCTCCGAGTACTTCGGTTTCCCTTGCCAATCTTCATTCCACCAAATTCTCCACCATCATAATCACCCAGGGAAGGCTACAATAGGCCAGTCAGTGACCGCCGTGCCGTGTTGACCCAGTTGGACTCCACTCCTAATAAGCGAATTTAATTAATTTAATTACACTGAGGGTGTTTGAGAACAGAATGTTGAGGAGAATATTTGGACTGAAGAGGGATGAAGTGACGGGAGGTTGGAGAAAACTGCATAGTGAGGTACTTCATAACTTATACTCTTCTCCAAGTTTAATTAGAATGATCAAGTCAAGGAGGATGAGATGGACAGGGAATGTAGCACGAATGGGGAGAGGAAAAATGCATATAGGATACTGGTGGGAAAGGCTGAAGGAAGGAGACCACTGGGAAGACCAAGGCATAGGTGGGTGGACAATATTAAAATGGATCTCAGAAAGATAGGATGGAATGGTATGGATTGGATTGACCTGGCTCGGGATAGGGATCAGTGCAGGGTTCTTGTGAACAAGATAATGAACCTTCGGGTTCAATAAAATTCTCGGAAGTTGTTGACTAGCTGCACAATTGGCACCTTCTCAAGAAAGGCTCAGCTCCATGAGTGAGACTGTTGAGGCATGCAGCATACACGGGAGATATGAGAAATGTATGCGAAGTAAGTTGGAAAACCAGAAGGGAAGACATTATTTGGAAGATCTAGGCAGAGATTGGAGAATAACTTTAATATATACTTAGTTGGAGGGTACTGACTGCATTAATTCTGCTCAGAATACGGTCCAGTGAGGGGCTCCACACGAGACAGAGAATTCCTTGACTATTTGATCGACTGTTGGCTTCTCAAATGGGAAGCCGCTGGATGTGGTTAGCTATAAGAAAGCATGCCAGTTATTTAGTCCATTCTTGTTGGTAACAGTCAATTGAACTGATGTGACGTTAAGGCATAAAGTTGCGGCTGTCAGAGGTCTGGAATCTGCTCCTTGCCTAGCGCGAAAGGAAAACTTTGCTTCTCTCTATCCATTGTTGCTAAACCACGCATCATGGTCCCTCAGTGTTCCACCTCTTCGCTTTTGAATTAAGCTTCAAAGACTAAAAGCAGAAAGATGAATATTACACCCATTTTTTTAAAGTATTTATTTCGGTAATTCGTTTTTCTGAAGGAATGCCTTCAGGTACATTCAGGTGCATTACGAATATAAATCACGTCTTTAGTTTACTTCGTGTTATGTTTCTTGTACAGAAATCTTGTGGTCGAAAGGAAAGTTTGAAAAATCGAACTTAGAAGCAAGGCAAAGGTCGACTCTAATTAAGAATATTGTTCTTCCATTCTTGTATCCAAAACGTTTCCGATAAGATTTCTAGATCTTAATAAGATATATATTTGTGGGAGTTAAAAGCTTCTTGGATGTTGAGAAAATCTTTAAATTTATATCACAACTTGCGGCTATATATGAATGGACCATCGGCCACAATTTTTGGACACTTGACATGAAGAGACAAGATGGCTTTACAATAAAGGAAAACGAACTGAATATCTCAACATTAAACTTAAACTATATTTCAGTCTGACAGCAGCTTTTAAATCATAACTGTAATTGCGTTCTAACAGAACCATCTTGCCCTCTACTGAGCACTGGTACATACACTCAGACTGCAGGCCCTATATCAGCTTCCAAAACTGTGTTCCGCGGAATGAGGGGGAATGCTTGTGAGACGTAGAGGCTCCCACGTTTTCTAGATAGTCGATCCACAGATGGCGGTCAGGTTCTCAGCCTTACTCGCCGGCCATCCTTTACCTCCAGGAAGATTCCTCGTACTCATTTCTGCTAGAGGCTGAGTCGACCCCAGGGCCATAGTGCGACTGGAAATCATTGGTCAGCTGACCTCATCGGGAATCGAACTTGCGACCTTCCGGCTTGTAGCATAGTGCCTCAACCAACTACGCTACCGCGTACCCCCAAAATTCTCCACTCTATATGAAACTGAATATTCATTTCTAGGTTCACAACAGCCCGCTACTGAATAAGCTTACTATCTTGATACTCCTCATAAGTTGCTACAAGTAATCGAAATCATTTCAGTAATTTCGAAGCTTAAGCATGGAGACAGAAGGACAAACACCGTGCCCAATTATGGGTTCATTTTATTGACTTCGTGAGAAGAAAGCGTGAAATGCATTATGGCTGTTGCGGGTAGCAGACGCAGCGGCCGGCCGGTCCGAGTTCTGGGTGCCATGACACACACACACACACACACAGGAGCACAACATCCTCGGCACATCATTGGCTCCTTCACATCTGCGTAACTCCACCCCATTCACGTACCGAGACCCACATGTGATTGGTGCTTGCCTCGGTACATTGGGATGGCCTGAGTCTATTAGTTAATATAAATTGGATACAAACTTAGACGAACTTCACTAACTAAAGATTCATCTTCTATATTAAACGAAAGTGAACTTGGATATATCATAATATTCTGGGGCCTTATTTTTGCTCACAAGCTGTGTGTTCCTAACCGGGCCGACGAACTAACTGGAATTATTAAGTCTCATTGTGAACAATCGTGTTTCATCAGCAAAATCTAGTGAGGCTTAACAGACTGTAACTGGGATCAATTCACACAAACATAAGCGTGTATTAACTGAAAGAAGCGTCCCGTCGTATCGAGCAATTCGTTTAATCTAAGCAGTTGTGTGTGTTATAACTTAATTTGTATTAAAACCAATCAACGAAAAGAGCTAAGACTTAAAACAGTCCTTTGGAATGAGGGGTAGGGGGTAGTTAATGATATAATTTCATTATCACAGTTGTGGTAATAATTTACTGAGTTATTAGTGGCCGCTGAAATCATTGTCTTGCGCTGTTCTTTTATTATTGCTACTGATTTAACACTAATACTTCCAGAAGTGTTTACTGGTGACTATAATTTGTCGTATAATTATAATGAAATCGTGAACATATCTACTTAAATCTTATTATATAATTAACAAGATTAATGTGCAGAATTTGTGTGTGGACAGACACAAAAATAATCGGAGAAAATTTGACGAATGAAATTTAACTTCGTGTGCTTAATTACACGGTTAATTCTTGGTCACACAAAATATTTCAAATTATAACTTAACACCTGGGAGTACAGACAGGAAACTTATTTTAACAATCATAATATTCAACTGCTACTTAATTAAATTCGAACACTAGACTCTGTTACTTACGAACTTAAAGAATGTGTTAATAAAAGACGAAATACACATATTCTAACGGTGTTACCAAGTTACTTAAAAATAGGTCCACATATTCGTGTTGGTGGAAACAGAACCTTTGAAGGTAGATGCTGTTATAGTCTGCTACTGGTAACGTGCCCTACAACTCAGTAAGCACAAAAATGGAAGGGGGTCCATTCGATGACAATTTGTTTTCTGACTTTTCGGGCTGTGGAACTGGCACGAGCACACTGTTAAGCGCTAAAGCACATGCAGACTCACGCGGCAACGTCCATTCCATACAAGTGATGTTAGGTCTGCAGCATTCGGACCTGATGTTGGGAGGCAAGATGGACGGAACGTGTCACATGGGGGCTCAGCACCACGACATCGGGCCACTGTTCGCTCAGCCCACGGACCAACACCTAACCTCCACCACATCGGCCAACAGCAAGCGCAAATCCGAAGATGGTGTCACTAGCAATTTGCAGCATCCAGGTAAGCGATCCAGTTCCTAGAAATGTAACGCAGTTTCCAGTCGGGACCGCTGCCATGTATTTCAGAAACAAACACGAGCCTGGATAGCGTAGTCGGTAGTGGAAGCCTCGACGTCTCACACGCCTATGGGTCTTCACGGCTTCTTAGAGGGATAGTTTTACTTTTTTAAATACTTTTTCTGTAAGTATTGCGGTTATCAAGATGGTACACAAAGGAGACCTTCATGCCGGTGATCTCGCACTAGCTCCGGAATTACTTGACTGATCCCCTCTCTTGTATTTTGTCAGGGAAATTTGTCCTTATACGAGTATAAGTTATCCATATTGGACCCTCCTTCATTTAATTTTTGAATCTGTATGTTAATCTTATAATCAACAATACAGGATCAAACAGAGCACTAATAATAAGTGTTAAACAAAATTAGGGAGACAATTTCATATTCCAGTGATCACAGTGGTGGCATGGTATGAGGCATTAAGATTATTCGCACGTATAATTTTCATTTCATGCATCCTGTTGTGTTATAATATATAATTTCTTCAATAAACCCGTCATAACACAATTGTATCTATGCACTGACATTGATATAGTTGTGTTGTGACGGTTTTAATGAAGAAGTTGTATATTATTCGCACTCTTAAACACTGGGTCGTGGGTTCGAATCATACTCAAAGCATGGATGTTTGTCTGCGTTTGTTTTGTGGTTGTATTGCCCTGCGCAGGTAGCCGTCTTGCGGCGGGCTCATCCCCCTCCCAAGGAGGCGTACCAACTGTCCACAAGATTAAAAAACAAGAGAAAACGAAACATTTCACGGATGTCCTACGCTCTGGAGAGAACAACAGAACATTTTAATATGAACGAATGAATTTCGTCTTCCAGTCATTCACGAACTTAATGACCCGTACGAGCGAAGGCACGACAATCCTTACAGGATGCGTAAACTTCTTAACAAATTTTATAAGTATTGTAATGTCATAACTACTCTATGCACCGCCTTAATCGCATAAAAAAACTCCGTGCCCTGTAGTCCGCAAGCAAACTATACCGACCGACTGAGCGACCGCCGCTTGTCGGCGGAGTTAGTGCCAACTTTTGCGGATAGAGAGTGTCGCGTGGGCAGCCCAACAGATCCCCAAGGACGTTAATTTCAGTTTTCTATACCGGAGTCGCTATTTCCTTGAAATAGCTCCTCAATTATCCTCACGAAGATGAGTGGACCCCGTTCCAGACCCACTACTTCTCAGAAAATCTGGTAGCGCCGGGACCTCTGGATCTGTAGCCAGGAACTCTGACCACTAGACCACAGAACTCTATAGAAATTTGATTTGTTTCATTCAGGTCCGTCACACTAACAATTACAAAGGCAATAATAATACCGTCTAATGTGACTATTTAAGTTTTATCACTTGAGGATTTATCTCCCTTACATGTTTCGATCCTTACAGATCATCCTCAGAGGGTATCAGTACATTCGGAAACTACTATTACAATAGATGTTAATTGTATGGATACACATTTGATGTCTAAAATGCACAATATACTCAATGTTCAAGATTGTGATAGTAGTTTCCGAAAGTACTGATAGCCTCTGAGGATGATCCGTAAGGATCGAAACATGTAAGGGAGACAAATCCTCAAGTGATAAAACTTAAATAGTCACATTAGACGGTATTATTATTGCCTTTCTATAGAAATAGTTGAAAAGATATTGCCAACATATAAATTCTAAAAGCTCAGAGGAATTATAGCAGTATTCGTTAACGCATGACTGGTGTCACTTTTCATTCGCCAGCTTGCAAATTCGCTTCGGGTGACAGTAGTTTTGAAACCCAAATATCAAAACCAATGGAGTATGCAGGACTGCAATGAGTGAGTTCAGAAAATAGGCCCATGTGTGTAGTGTTTACTTCATTTCTTTTTCACTGTTCATTTTTACGAAATCTTAATGGAATTTTGCAGAAGTATGCAGACACAGGCATCTCATTCAGATTAATATATAACCATGACATGGGCACTAAATTTATATTCTTTTTCTGTTTCAGTGAATCTCGAACAAGGGACGAAGAAAAGTGATTCGAAAAGCAAGAAAAATGACAACAATGGCGTGAAGAAGAAGAAGACACGGTGAGTAAGCTGCAATAAATAAGTGTAAAGCTATCCCTGGGCCGCGCCATAGCTCAAGCGGTTAGTCGCTGGCTTCCCACCGCGGCGGCCCGGGTCTGGTCAAGTGGGATTTGTGGTGGACAAAGTGGCGCTGGGCGGGTTTTCTCCGAGTACTTCGGTGTCCCCTGCCAATCCTCATTCCACCAAATTCTCCATAATAATAATGACACAGGGCAGGTTACAATAGGCCAATAAGTGGCCGCCGTGCCGAGTGGACTCAGTTGGATTCCACCCTCCACTACGCTAAAAGCTATCCGTCTAAGAGGCTGTGAAGGCCCATAGGATTGTGTGACGTTGAAGCTCCCACATCTTCTAGACAATCAGCTCACAGATGGCGGTGAGGTTGTCAGCCTTACGCGCCGGCGCTTCACTTCCCAGGAAGATTCCTGGTACTCATTTCTGTTAGAGGTTTAGTCATTTCCATGGTCACAGTGCGGCTGGAAGGATTAGGTAAACTGCAAAAAATTGCCATGGGGTCATCGGGAATCGAACCCGGGACCTTCCGGCTAGTAACACAGTGCATCAACCAATTACGCTACCGTGTACCCACCTGACATATAGTAGATCTTGGTGGCCGCACCATAACTCAAGCGGTTAGTCGCTACCTTCCCACTGCGGCGGCTCGGGTTCGATCCCGGGGTCTGGTCAAGTTGGATTTGTGATGGACAAAGTGGCGCTGGGGCAGGTTTTCTCCGAGTACTTCGGTTTTCCCTGCCAATCTTCATTCCACCAACTGCTCCACAATCACCCTCACCTATCATCTGGGGCTGGTACAATAGGCCAGAAGTGGCCGCAGTACAAGGGACTTAGTCCCACCCCACTAGCAATTAAAAAAATATATAGATCTTAAATTTTATATGTTACTCTCTAGAACACGAGCTAGGATAGTGCAGTCGGTATAGCGACTAACTAGGGGCTGGACGACTGAAAGGTCGGAGTTCGAGTCCCGGTAAGATCAACAATTTTCACTTCTCCATATCGTTTAGACCGGCTCTGGGGTCCATCCAGCCTCCTATCCAATGAGCACCAGGGGCTTTCTCCCAGGGGTAGAGCGTCCAGCGAGTTAAGCTGACCACTCACCACCAACTAGTATCGAGGTCAAGAAAATGTGGATCTATACATCCACTCCCCATTCGCCTTCATGGCGTCGTGCTTAATTAGTTAAGCACAGGGACAACCTTACTTTACCTTTACTCTCTATAAAAGATTCCTCCTGGAAAACTCACCAAGCGCATTCATTTACTTGGTCAAGAAATTCAACACCATTTATGTAAGCTATGGTTAGTTCTAGTGTTCACTAGGGCCCTCCACTGCTCTCATTCATATGAATCTAGCCCATCCAGCCGCTCCATTTCTCTCAGATCCACCTTAATAAGTCTTCCAAGAGGTCTCCTCGGTTCAGTGTTTTCAACCGGAATTTTGCAGGTTTTAAACAACTTTACAATTCGAAGACACTTTGTAATTTGAAGAAAGCAGTCTTCTGGGATTTGGCACCCTGTATATGTGGTGTTAACCGACGTTTCGGAGGAACATATCGCCTCCATCTTCAGGGTAGAAGAAAAAATATATAAGAAATCTGCAAGCGAAGAGACCGTAAGAATCGGTAAAAGCAGTCTTCTACCCTGAAGATGGAGGCGATACGTTCCTCCGAAACGTCGGTTAACACCACATATACACGGTGCCAAATCCCAGAAGACTGCTTTCTTCATAGTCACCGCCGTGAAAGCCTCCAATCTTACCTTGTAATTTATTCTTTTATGCCATGATAACATATTAAAATCCAGATAAAGCGTCAGACAAAAATTTTAAAATACAAGATTATTTTAAGAGTACTGTCACGAGTATTAGTGACTAATTAAGCGGGTTCGGGATAGGATGAACGGATTTATTTACTCCTTATACATACCACCAGTAATTACACGAAATTATAGCGTTATAGCTATTTATGTACTTTGTAATTCCCTGTTACACACACACACATAGTAGTCGTCTCCTGGTAACGTAATTAAAACACAGGAACTACAACAGCCTCACTGAATCACGCACTCCAAGCATTACACCTGAGTAAAGCGTCTTCACACGACGAACTTTCCGTGGCTATCTTCCACCGAGAACTCAGAACTCTGTCATTGTCACTGTCTTGGTCAAATCAAAGTCACATTGCGACTGATGGTCAGTCAATCGGTCAGTAAGTCTTGGTGTCGAGCCCCACCAGATATTTATTACTGTTTGCCAGTTATGGTCTTGTTTTTATGGAGCGCCCTCTCTGACGAGAGGACGGGTCTGTCTTTTGTGTATGCTGCTGGTCCTTGCAAGCGCAGCCTTTCTCGGGTCCGAGTCCCTTGGGACTCGCGACCATATTTTACTGTCTCAGATTAGATACTTCCCTTTTCGTCGCCTCCTACGACTCGCAGAGATGGAGGTATTTGACCCCGCCTCCAGACGGGCTGTATAGATTCACATTTTATTGACCTCGGCACTAGTTTGAGGTGAGTCGTCAGTTTCAAGCCCCGGCCGCTTTATTTGGGGGGAAAGAGCTCTCGGTACACATTAGATAGGATGTTGGGTGGACTTCAGAGCCCGTCTGGACGACGTGGAGATGACAAAATTCTTGATCCTACCGGACTCGAAGTTCGATCTCTTAGTCGTCCAGCCCACAGCTAGTCGCTATACCGACTACGCTATCCTGGACTGGGCACATTTAACTCTATGGAGAGGTGGAAAATCTGCACCACTGACGGGAATCGAACACCGATTCTGCAGTCGTCAAGTCAAACTGACTGTAGGTCTGTAGGCCAACGCGAATTAAAGCGTGTCTCCTTGTAAAGGGACACACTGAATGGGGAGCTATTAACATAGGCGTGCACACCATATGTTTGAGTGACGACACGCCAAAATGTAGCAGCAGTTACTGCGGTGTTAGGTCTTTATTCTCCATCCGTGACACTGCCACTTTCTACACCTATTATTATAACACAATTTAGGAATATCGTTGAGAGTTTAATTTTGATTAAATGATAACCACGCACGCGTGCCGCCCGTAAACACTCTGTTATTCAAGGATGGCCAAGCCAGGACTTCGCCGCGTTTACATACATGCAGATTATATTGTAGCCTACTGCCTATACGACAGCAAATTGTGTGCTAAGTACATGTTATATAAATAGGTGAAAATCCACAAGTAAGGAACAATTAAATATGAAAATAAGCTACACAACTTCATGAACAGACATATGCATAAATATATACAAACATACAAAATGAATGAACAAATATATATATATATATATAAATAAATAATTACAGAATATTGTTACGTATCCTGGTAACGCGAGAAGAAATTAATGGGTTCCGGATTAAGTGAAACTGTTTATTGGATAAACCGTTTACAATTACAACTACAATCACTCCCAAAGAACGCCTTCCAGACGATGCGACCTGACTAGTCCGTCGTCTCTCACGTTTCGCTTTCTGGTTCGTGGCTGACCTGCTTTCTTCTGCTCTGGTCTCCTCTTCCTTTGGTCTCTTATCTTCTACAGTCGGACGGACTGTAAGACACCTTCTTGAAGGGTTCTGTTTCAGGTGTTAGCCAGTGTATTCGTTACCACTGGAACCGCCTTAGTTCTGGCCTTCATTTCCGTGGTAACATCTGTTATGTATGTGCTGTCTTGGAAACATGTTTTAACAAGCCGTTGTCTAGCAATGGACGCCAGTTCTGACTCAAGATATTCCTGGTTCTAGGCGACACGTCTATGAGATTCTCATGCTGATTATCTAAGATTTGGCACCGCATATTTTGGCAGGGAGGTACCAATATTTCGGAGAAAATGCCCCACTCTTAAAAACAACAGAATATGTCGTATAGTTTGGTACATATCTACCACCGTTTCGGAGGAATCTTAGGCATAGAGACAGGCCTATCATAGTAGACCATCTTTATTTTCTGTTCTGTAAGTCATAGGTCTATGAAGGGTGATTATGTCCACATAGCCTATATACAGGTGTATATGTACCCGCGTAAAATGTAGCTTCTCTGTTTCTTATTTCCTACCGCTGATCTGGTCGAGAAAAAGAAATATTTTATGAAAATTACTTCGTGTTCCAAATTTTGCAGCAGATTCCCTGTAACAGGCTGTGGAGGACCATAGGGTTGTGAGACGTTGAGGGTCAAACATTATCTACACAATCGGCTCACAGACGGCGGTAAGGTTGTCAGTCTTACGAGTCGGCCAAGCTTTACTCACCAGGAAAATTATTTATTTAATTCATGGTGCTCATTTCTGTTAGTAATGAAATTTAATATTGGAAAATTTGGGGGAAAAATAAAAAAGTTTCGATTTCCATTTGTATCACCACTTTAGGTGTAGATCTATGAGAATTCCCGTGCATACCTCACTAAACATTTATCAGAGAGCGAGAGATATTCGGAACGAGCCCCGTAGAGATAAATGAATTTCACATTTCACGATCGGTATAATTTATCGTAAGTCTTCGGTCTTAGAGATAGTGGAACAAAAGTGGCGTTATTTTGAACGTCCATATGCAGCAATCGACCATGACTTCCAGTACATATTGATAACAAGAAAAAAACAAAGCATAACGAAATAAATAAAAATAAAAAAATACTGTTTTAAAATCAGAATTTTTATTCTTCCAACAAAATACTCTATCACGATATGACTTTGACTTTTGAATTGAGCACTTTATGCGAAACGTTTATTTAAATTTCATTTAGTGTGTAATAATCAGGGCCCGGATTTTGATGACATGTCATCTTTTTTTCCTTGTAGCCTATGCGATGCTCTTAAATATATAAATCTCGGATATGAGCTGCTGGTTACAGAAATGTAAATTTTATAGGTATTTCTTTTGTCATTTTTGACATTTTTGGGTTTAAGATCATTTTTTTTATTTTGGGGTAATTTTTTAGTAAATTTTTGGCCTTTTAAGGGCATTTCTTG